TGGCCAGTACCTAGCGTATCGTAGATGTTCAGGGCACACGTGCTGAGTGAATGAATGAGTGCCTGCAGATCGTAGAGAAGAGATTGAGATCGCAGGAAATGCTTAAAGCATTGATCGGCTCAACCGCCCCGGTGGGCAAATCTCAGACTGATATGCAGGATACTTTGTGACAGCGGACACCACTGCCACCTCTGGGCAGGGGCCATCTCAGTCTCTCACGCTCTTCCTCAAGTGTTCTTTTCATCTGCTGCCCTGTGGAAGTTTCTGGTTGCGCGTGGATTATGCCAGGAAGCTGGGATCTGCTCTGTAAGCCGGAGGGAGAGAGGGCTGTTGCCGTTTTGAGTCTTGTTTACAAATTTCTCTGCTGCCGTCACAATGGTTAGTCAGAACACGGGCCGGAAGGTGGAGTCAGACGTGCCGCAGGGGGATTGCCACAGTGGCTGTGCTCTGACTCTGCCCCTTCCCTGTCACTGGGGTTTCCAGGCAGGCTCACGCCCATACCCGCCTCATACCTAGCCCCGTCTCGGATGAAAACGCCTTAGTGACACCTCAGGTAGAATCGGGCATGTTTTCCAATTGAACTTGGCGCGAACCCTGTTTTCAGGGTCAGATAAATCAGAAACTACTTCTAGGGGATTCTGTCTTCGATCATTTATCTGTCATTCATTCGTTCACAAGCATTTACCAAGTGCCTTTCTCATGCCAGGCTTTGGTCTAGGTTTGGGACCAAAAGACAGAAAAGACATAGACACTGTCCTCAAGAAGCTCCCAGTCTGGTGGCAGCAGGTTTATAAAAAATATGACTGAGGAATGAGTTTTTAGATTTGGGGAAGTTTACATCTTGGGGAATCATTGCTTGGGAACTGGAAGTGTTTTATTGAGGCCGATGTTTTCACTAAGCAGACTGAGGGCAGAAGAGGTACCTGGGAAATCTGAGGCAGGTTTTATGACAATTTTTAAGCCCAAGAGCATTTGTCTCCTGCAGTCTTGGGTTGGTTCTGGGGCTTTTTGAGAGTTCCTGAGCCCCGTTTTTGGCCTGTTCTTCTCGTCTCTCCCCTTTCACACTTCCCTCTCTCCTCATTTCTCACATTCAGCTCCTCAGACGTCGCAGGATTTGGCACGGAGCTAGGCTGGGGAGGGAAGAGTGTTTGTTGCAATGACAGCTGGGCTCTCAGCTGCACTGAAGGAAAGCAGAGAGGAGGAGAGAGGCCTGGGGCGCACACGGGAGACCTGACTTCCAAATCCCTTCTCCAGGTCAGCACCCAGGCACAGAGCTCGACCCCCAAGATCTGGAGGGAAGAGCCCTGGGAGATGGAGAGAGCTGGGAGACTCTGCTTCTGCTTTGATTTAGCCTCAGCTCCTCTGACCCCCCCCCCCGCCCCCAGCAAGGCCCTGTGCCCTGGATAGGCCTCTCAGCTTCCTGTGTTGTGTCACAGCATATATCTCAGTTAAACGTGAGTTTGTGTGATCGCTGGCTAGTATCCCTCCCTCGTCACCCTCCACTCTCTCTAGACTCTGAGCTCCACAAGAGCAGGGTCCATGTTTGCTTTCTCTCCCCAGCCAGCGAGTCCCCAGTGCCTGGCACAGGTGAGGCATGCCGCCTTTCTGTGGGATGAATACGCAGAGCTGGACTCCTGCTGCCCTGCCTGCTGGGGAAGGGTGGCCTGTGCCATGTTCTGGAGGTGGCTGAGCGCAGCCCCACTGAGCTCCAGGGCATGGTGGGGACCCTGCACCCGAGCTCAGGGGAGGGGCCTGCCTGGCCACCCATGGGTGCCAGACCTCAGACTGTCCTCTCTCTCCTCCCTGTGCCCCTCGATCCAGCCACGGCACGTGACGCCCTTGTCCCTATACTCCCACTGTCTTGCTGTTCACGTGCAGTTCCCTCTGTCTGGGGCACCCTCCCCACCTTCTCTGCCTGGAGAGAGCCTGCTCATCCTTCAAAGCCCAGTGCAAATATTGTCTCTCCTGGGACATCTCCCCGACCTGTCTAGAGAGAATCTACCGCCTTCTTGGCTTCGGAGGGACCTTGTCATCACCACCGGTATTATACTTGTCACACTGTCCTTTCTGAGCATCTCCATGGTGGAAGCTAGGCACTGTATCCTCCTAACTCCCATTTAGAGGCTGGCCAATGGCAGGAGCTGATTAAATGTAGTTGGCTGGCTGGAGCTTCTTTGGGGGTCACAGCGACACCAGGTTCCCTCATTCAGGTGGCGAGGGGTGCAGGAGAGCAGCTGGGCAAGCAGCCCCTCTTTGCCCATCTTGCCCCCTAGGGGCTTTCCACTGCCCAGCCCACTGTTTGCCACCTCAGAGCCCTGGAGGCCACCACTGGGGCTGAGTGGGCAGCTGGGCTCCATGCCCCGGTCTGGGTGGACCCTGCAGCACTCCCAGACCCCTGCAGCCTTCAGGCTGACCTGCTGACTGCCACATTCCTGAGCCCCAGACAAGCCCAGACAAGTCCCCGAGTCTATGCCAGGCTGGCAAACAGCAGAAGAGGTGGTAAGGAGGACCATTGCCCCCAGAGTGGCTAGAAGGGGCTAGAAAGGGTGGGCTAACCTCAGGTGTCAATGCCTTCTTTGTGGCTGCTGGTGTGTTTGGGGCCACCAGGGCAGTAATGAGTCAAGGCCAGGATGACCAGTCACAGAGCCCGTGATTTCCCTCCAAGCCTCCGATACAGAGTAGATATCGAGGGACACATTTCTCTCGGAGACAAAGTTTGGGCTCCGATCTCTGCTTGGGGCCGTCCCCGGCTTCAGCTGTCCCTGGGCATACTCGGTTTAATGGGTTCCAGGGAGAACCATTGTGCAGACCTTGTCGCAGGGAGGGGCCTGTGGGTATGGAAGGAGGCAGGGAGGGGCATGAGCTGTCCCATTCTCTCCCTAGGGCTGGGAGCTATGGTTGTCCTGGCCTCATTAGAGGGCAATGACAGGGTAATTAGGCGCAGGTGGTTTAATGGCTAGCTCGGGGGCCAGAGGCTCCCTGGATCCTACCCTGGAGACTGGCCATGCTGCTGCCTTGCCTTTGGGGCCCACCTGCCCTCTTTCACGCATACAGTCATGCCTAACTCCTTCCCTGGGTGGCAAAGGGTCAGTGTCGGATGTGCCATCCATGATGAAAGTGAATTTATCTTTTTTTTTTTTTTTGAGACAAGAGTCTCACTGTGTTACCCAGGCTAGAGTGCCGTGGCATCAGCCTAGCTCACGGCAACCTCAAACTCCTGGGCTCAAGCGATCCTCCTGCCTCAGCCTCCCGAGTAGCTGGGACTACAGGCATGCACCACCATGCCCGGCTAATTTTTTCTAGATATTTTTAGTTGTCCGATTAATTTCTTTCTATTTTTAGTAGAGACGGGGTCTCGCTCTTGCTCAGGCTGGTTTTGAACTCCTGAGCTCAAACAATCCGCCTGCCTCGGCCTCCCAGAGTGCTAGGATTACAGGCGTGAGCCACCGCGCCCGGCCGAAAGTGAATTTATCTTTGGTCATGAGTTTTTACGTTTGTACAGGGTGTCATGGTTTCCAGCACTTATTTACTATATGAGCCCATTCAGTCTCTGCACTTACCCTGTGTGTGCATGGGGGTGCTGTGCACCCTATTATTTCCACTTATAGGGGAAAAATGAGTCTTAGAAAGATTAAAGTCTCAAGACAGCACAGCTGATAAGGGAGCCAGCCTCTAAGTCTCTTTTTTTGTTTGTTTGTTTGTTTTGAGACAGGGTCTTGCTCTGTTGTCCAGGCTGGAGTAGTGTAGTGCCGTCATCATAGCTATTAGCTCACGGTAGCCTTGAACTCTTGGGCTTAAGCGATCCTCCTGCCTTGGCCTCCCAAGTAGCTGGTACTACAGGTGCACGACACCCCACCTGGCCCCTTTTAGCCTTTTGATTCTATGGTTCATGCTGCAGTAATCTGCTCTAGAAACTCCCTTTTCTGTTGCTCCCCCAAGAGGCAGCCCAGGGCTCCTTGGTGTCACCCAGAAGCAGCTCAGCTCGGCAGGCTGCACTGCTGCTTCCCTCCCCTCTCCTGCAGTCCCAGGGGATGGGGCTTCTCTGCACACAGGCTGAGCTTCTAGGGCACCTCCTTGGACGGGAAAGCAGCAAGCTGGCGCGTTGATGCTGGCTCAATTCCAGCATAAAGCAGGCAAACCCTTTCTGACCCTCAACTACCCTGGCACGGAGCTAGCTCTTGCCAGACTTTTTGGAAGAGTCTTGTGGGAAAGGCTGCGGCTGGGAGTCAGGAGACAGCCATCTGAGGGGCCCCCGCAGGTCACATCCTCCCCCTTAAATAGCTGCTCCTCCTTCCCTTCTTTCACCTTCTCTTTCCCTTTGGTTGCTGCGAAATTGCTGTGTCTTGGCCAAGAGCTGGAGAATGAAGACACCCTGGGTTCCACCTCAGACCCAGCTATTGTCTCTTCCCCTCCCTGGGCCTCAGTCATCCACCTTGAAAGATGGGACCCATTCTCTTTGCCCCAGGAGAGCGAAGACACTCTGGGTGTTCAGAGGAGGAGGAGAGAGGGTGAGGGCATGAAGACAGACCAAGCATAAGATCTTCACAAACACTCTAGATCATTCTGAGGCATCTCCGCACCATTTTCTTTGAAAAGGAGTCAGTTTTCCCAGGGAGTGGCAGAGGGACATAGTGGCATCAAAACAGCCACTTGCCCTTGGAAAAATAGTGCCGACCTCTAGCCAACAGGCCAGGAGACCCTGGGCAGAAGAGCATGCAGCACTGGGGGGGAACCGTCAGAAAGGATAGCCCTGGCCTCTGTGCCCCAGCTTCCTGGGTGGGCTGGGCCAGGGACTGCTGGCAGTGGGGGTGAGAAGAGGGCAGGTGTGTATAAGACATGTAAGGGGATGGGATGTGGGGGTGATTCAGCTATGACCTCTTTTTTAACCTGGAAGGAGTCGCGAAATTCTCAGCTGATGACTTCTCAGGCTGCTTGAAGGGCCCTTTATGGGGAAACCCACCCTCCCCCCAGTCTCGGGAGCAGAGGGCCCCCACACTCACCATGCTGGCTCCGCGATCTTCCAGATTTCCCTACAGCCTGGGGCTGAGACTGGCGACTCAAGTCAGGCGGAGGCCTCCCCACACCTGGCCAGCAGGTCAGAAATCCCTGCTCAGCACTGGCTGGAAGAGGCCTCAGTGCAGGGCAGGCCTTGGTCCCTCATGTCCAGCATCCCTGTCCCCTTAGCAAGCCGGCTGCCTCCCACACCGCTGTATTCCGGGAGTGATTTGGGAACTGTGGGGTGGGTGGATTAAAACAACCCTCCAGGTGAAGTTGCCAAACTGGAATGATTATGTGTCTTGTAACCTGACACCCGCCTTAGGGGCTGGAACACCTGGAGTCATTCATGGGCCCTTTGGCCTCAGAACAGGTGACACACCTAAGATGTCATAAAAGCCTTCCCGCCTGAGTGACTTCCACCCAACCGGGTGGTGGTTGAGGGTGATGTCAAAAGTCCCCCCCCCACCCTGTCCCAGCTGCATGACTTCTCACTGTGTAGATGCTTTTGTTTGGAGTTGTGGAAAGTTGTAGGAGGCTGGGGGTTGGATGACAGGATTTGCTGCTCAGTAGAATGGGTTGCTGCTATGCGTGGAATAACAGGATTGAGAAGTCCATGGAGAAGGGGAGGGTTTCTTCTTAAAGGAGGTGGGATATATCTGCTTTCCCTGGGTTCCAGAAGCGAAGCCGCCCTGCACAGGGCTAATTAACATGCCACATACCAGCCAGTGTCCCTCCCAACTGCTCTTGACCCTGCCTCGGTAAATATTGTGAAAATCACTGTTGGTGCCATGGCTAGGGCCCGAGTCTCCTCTTCTACAGGGTCATTTCTGAATTACGTCCCACCACATCCTGACGCCTGGCTCTGCCCCCTGCCTAGGGGGTGTGCAAGGTGTAACCTTGGAACCACAGACTGTAGAACTGGCAGGGACTTGGGGAACTGTTCACTCCATTCCTCCATTCTGTGGGTGATGAAACTAAACTCCAGAAAGGCAAAGTCAATTACCCAAGCTCGAGTAGTATATTAGCATCTGATTCCAAACCAGTCCATATCTTCTTCCATTTCTCGGTCCTGGCCTTCCCAGGAGAGCAGCCCAGGGTAGACTCGTGTATCGGCCCTTCCACTGATAATGTGCGTCTATGTGCCGTCTCCTTCATTCTCACAATCCCATGAGGAATATTTCATTCCCATTTGACAGTTGAGGAAAGTATAGCTCATGGAGATGAAGTAGTTTTTGGCAGAATTGGGGCTGGAACCTGGTTCCCCCATCTCTGCCAGCCATGTGCACAGACTCAATGGAACACAAGTGTCTGAAAGCCCTGGGTACACGGTCCATGGAAGACCCCAGAAATGTCTGCGCGGGGGGAGGAATACCAGGTAGATTTGACTGATTGTTGGCCAAATCTTGGCTGATCAGTGAGGTGTGGTCTTGGGCTTGTGTCTGAGTAGCAGAGATCTGAGGCTGTCCTGGAGGGGCCCTGGAGCCAATAGGGCCCTATCCCTTCCCCACTCTAGGGTGGTGGCCTTTAGAATTGGAAGTTTGGGACAAAGTCAAGAGCCTGTGATCCCAGAACAAGTGACCTTAGGATACAGGGCTGTGAAGATGCAGGCAGGCACTTCCCTTCTAAGAAGGACTCTGGCAGTGGGGCAGTGAGACGTCAGCGGGCCACCCTGAGCCGAGGCTTCCCTTGTCTTGGCTCCTCTATGTGCCAGGTGAAATGTCTGGCCCACAGGTCTGCGTTTCCTGGCACTCAGGTGATGAACCAGGAAAGAGGTAGCTGCCTGGGCAAGAAGGCTGGTGGGCGTGGCTGGTTGGAGGGACGATGACTCAGCCCTCCTGGCTCCAGCTCCCAGTTGGCTCTGGGAGCTTGCAGAGAGGCCTGGGAAGAAGGCAGGTGGGCAGGACTGGGCAGGGCTGCTGTGATGCCCAGGGTAGGGGACTGCCAGGTTTACAGGTGGAGGCACAGTGGCTTGGAGAGAGCAGGAGCCCACTCCCTCCAGGCGCCAGGGGCCATGTCCAGGCCAGACATCCATCCTTGCAGAGGAAGCCTCAGATCCCTCTGCCCTGTCCCTTTCCCACCCATCTCTTTAGACTCTCCTTTTGTTTTTCCTCCTCTTTTTCTTTTTCCTCCCCTTTTATCTCTTCATGTCTTTTTCTAACAACTTTTTCTCTTCCTTCTTCCCTTTCCTCTTCTGTTTCCGGCATGTGTGTCAAGATCAGAGGTGGTTACCATGAAGCTAAGGAAGCCACACAGCCTGTCACTCGCGTGGCTCCTCTGGGTCCTGGGAAAGGTCCCAGCAACATGTTCACGCAGCCACATGTCTCTGTGAATTTTGCTAGAGATGTCTTTGGTATACTCCTTCTTAAATAAGGCTCTTCAAAATGTGTAAGCTCAGGCCTCATAAAACCTGCAACTTCCTTGGTCAAGAGCATGAGCTCTAGTAGCTGGAGTCCTGTGTCCTCATCTCAACCGCTAATTATTAGTGTGACTGCGGGCATTTTATCTAATCCTCCTGAGTGCCTCGTCCTCATCTGTAAAGTGGGGGTAATAATAGTTCTGACTATTATTACAGAGAGTCGTGGTGAATGGAGCTGTCATCCCTCGCTCATTGCACGAGATGTGTGTGTATTGACCCGGTGCCGGAGCACTGGGGATTAGGAGGGAAACCCCGGCCTTGAACATGCACACCGCCCAGTCCACTGAAGGAGATGGGATGCATCCACAAATCACGCTAAGCTGAAAATGGTGGTCAAGTAGAGATAGAAAGAAAACACTATGGGGGGTTGGAAAACCTTTTCCATCCTTCACTGTCCTCTTCTCTTCCTTCCTCCATCCCTACCTCCCCCCACCTCCCTCCCTTCCTCCCTCTCTCCCTCGCTTCCTTCCTTCTCCCTGCCTTCATTTTTTTCCCCTAGATATTTTTACCTAGCTAAGTAATTTGTAGGTATGTTAATTGCCAGTTGTTTCTTTTCTTTTTTTCTTTTTTTTTTGAGATGGAGTCTTGCACTGTCACCCGAGCTGGAGTGCCGTGGCGTCAGCCTAGCTCAGAGCAACCTCAAACTCCTGGGCTCAAGTGATCCTCCTGCCTCAGCCTCCCAAGTAGCTGGGATTACAGGTGCGCACCACCATGCCCAGCTAATTTTTGTATTTTTAGCAGAGATGGGGTCTTACTCTTGCTCAGGCTGGTCTCGAACTCCTGAGCTCAAGCAATCCTCCCGCCTCGGCCTCCCAGAGTGCTGGGATTGCAGGTGTGAGCCACCGCGCCCGGCCCAGTTGTTTCTGACTGTACATTTGATCTATTAATAATATCAGCAGTCTCCCACTCATCCATCTATATGTGCCTCCCGTATATCCGTACATCTACCCGGCAAATATTTCCTATGATGATATCAGACAGTGTGGTCAGACCCTGCGGCTGGAGAAAATAAAGTATCTCCTGCCTTGAGGAGCTCAGTCTGCCCGTGTACTGCACTTTCCCTGTTGAAGCAGGAACCTCTGAGGGCAGCGAGCCACGGTCCTTCCCGCTCAGGGTGTGCTCATGGACCCAGCAGTGTCGACATCACCTGGGAACACCTTAGAGACGCAGAGACGCAGCACCCACCCCACCCTTACTCAGTCGGAATCTGCATCACAAGGTCCCCAGGTGATTTGCATTCACCTTAACGTTTGATAAATGCTGTTCTGGAGCTCTTCCCACGCTCAGGAGTGGGTAGAGGCTGTTATTTCTGGAGTGAGCTGAATTCAGAGACCAGAGCTTGACAGAGATGAACCCCTGGGGTTCCTTCCAGCCATGAGTCTTCCCTCTGAACCCCAGTAATTTGAGATCAGTTTCAGTGACTGGCCCTTTTGTTCAATCCTCTTCCAAGAAATTGGGGAGAGAAAGGTGCAGTGGGCGTGCGTGAGCCGGCAACAGCCCGGGATCGCCCGCGCCAAGCAGCTCTGGAATTAGCACGCAGGGAATGCAGTGCCTGTCCCACAGGGGACCATGGGGGCACGGGGGGTGAGGGGGAGCTCACTGTGAGGGGTGCGAGCAGGCTCTCGGCTGACTTGCTAACTTTCCAGAGAGGATTTTCACTGCGTAGCACCCCTCAGACATGGTGTAGGCTCAGAGGCGGTGAATTGAGCTTCAAATATCTGCATCAAAGACGTGGGAAATACAGAATCCCAAACCTGATCCCAGCCCTGACCCCAGTCACCTCTGCTGGGCGGGAGCTGGCCTTCCACTTGTGGCTCTGCCATTCTACACGTGTGTGACCTGAGGCTGGGGGCGGAGGGCAAGAGCGAAGACAGGCATGAGCCTGACAGAATGACAGGACACGATTGCTTCAAACGAGCCACACGCAGTAAAGAAACAGCTACCATATAATGTGTGCTCCCTTGTGCCAGGCTCTCATGCCTGTGGGAAGAAGTCGCACTGCCTCATTTTGTCCTTGCAGCCACCGTGTAATGAGGCTGCTCCTGTTACCTCCATTTCACAAAGGAGGAGACTGAGGCTCAGGCATGGTTGGGGTCCAGGTTGGTGTAACCTGGGACGCCTAGGCCCTCTGCACCACACCATGGCACGGGTCGTGGAGAGGGTCAGCAATGGCCTCTGCACTCCTCCAGGGGTCTCTGAAAAGCCACTCAGGCCTCTGTGGTGCCAGAGCCCTGCATGGGCCTGCCTGGGGGCCAGGGGGCAGTTTCCATGCTGCCCGTGTGATTTGACAGCAGTCTCAGTCGAAGACCTTTCATTCAGCCCTCTCCCCTTAAACCAGGCAGAGAATGAATTTCAGATTATTTCCGAGTCCAGCCCCTTTCTTTTCGTCTGTCTCTCAGCAGCCCAGTGGTTAGAAGTCATAGGGAGGGCAATGGAGCGGGGAGACACCGCTTTTCATTGTGACTGTGCTATAGATTCCAGACCGGGAACATACAGTACTGTGACAATCGTTTTTTTTTCTTTTTTTAAAGAATCTGGCTAGAAAGGAAATAATGTAGATTTACTTTATTACATTTATTTTCTCGGGTTCTGGATAAGAAACAACACATCCAGGCTGGGCGTGGTGGCTCACGCCTGTAATCCTAGCACTCTTGGGAGGCCAAGGGGGATGGATTGCTCAAGGTCAGGAGTTAGGGACCAGCCTGAGCAAGAGCGAGACCCCGTCTCTACTTAAAAATAGAAAGAAATGATCTGGACAACTAAAAAAATATATATAGAGAAAAAATTAGCCGGGCATGGTGGCGCATGCCTGTAGTCCCAGTTACTCGGGAGGCTGAGGCAGGAGGA